GTGAAAAACACTAGGATTTCGTGTGCTTAGCTAACATCATGTAGCTGCTGGTTTTTACTTCAGTGTTTTCCCTGCCAAACCCAATGCAAACTGTGGAACAGATAACCAGGGTACTTGCACCTTCAGTGTGCACTTTCCAGGAGTTTGGAAAAGAGGCAGGAAAAGTGGGGCCCAATCCATGGACAAGCCATGTGGTGCTGAATACCTCCTGACACTTCAACTGGAGACCAAACAACCGCAGGGAGTGGTGACCACAGCATTAGATTGGGGGAGTGGCCATTCTACTTGACATCTATTGTCCCCCTGCTTATTTAATTTATATGCAGAATACATCATGCGAAAGGCTGGACTGGAGGAATCCCAAGCTGGTATCAAGATTGCTGGAAGAAATATCAACAACCTCCAATATGCATATGATACCACTCTGATGGCAGAAAGTGAGGAGGAATTAAGGACCCTTGTAAGGAGGGTGAAAGAGGAGAGTGCAAAAAAACAGTCTGAAGCTCAACATCAAAAAAACTAAGATCATGGCCACTAGTCCCATCAACTCCAAGCAAATCGAAGGGGACGATATGGAGGCAGTGACAGATTTAACTTTCTTCGGCTCCATGATCACTGCAGATAGTGACAGCAGCCACAAAATTAAAAGACGCCTGCTTCTTGGGAGGAAACCGATGACAAACCTCGAAAGCATCTTTAAAAGCAGAGACGTCACCTTGCTGACAAAGGTCTGCATAGTCAAAGCAGTGGTTTTTCCAGTAGCAATGTATGGAAGTGAGAGCTGGACCATAAAGAAAGCTGACTGCCGAAGAATTGATGGTTTTGAATTGTGGTGCTGGAGGAGACTCTTTAAAGTCTTCCGGACTGCAAGAAGAACAAACCTATCCATTCTAAAAGAAATCAACCCTGAGTGCTCACTGGAAGGACAGATCCTGAAGCTGAGGCTCCAGTACTTTGACCATCTCATGAGAAGAGAAGACTCCCTGGAAAAGCCCCTGATGTTGGGAAAATGTGAAGGCAAGAGGAGAAGGGAACGACAGAGGATGAGATGGTTGGACAGTGTCATCAAAGCTCCCAACATGAATTTGACCCAACTCCGGGAGGCAGTAGAAGACAAGAGGGCCTGGCGTGCTCTGGTCCATGGGGGTCACAAAGAGTCGGACATGACTAAACGACTAAACAACAACAAGTCCATGAGTGGAGGAACCAACCCTGTCTTGTACACCTCTATTGCAAAATATTAATAATCATCATCTTTGAACTGCAGAGTGGTTTGCAGACCGCGAGCTCCAGAGCAATTGGAAGGGAGCGCGGAGCTCATGGCGAAAGCGGAAGGTGAGTGGACGGTCCGGCCCCAGGAGACTGGACCCTCGTTATGTCTGCCTGTGCTGGGGTATTCATATTCGTATACAGATATGAATACCCCCATCTCTACTCCCAACCTCTGGCTCTGCAGCCAGATACATACAGTACCTAAACCACTGAGCAGTTCTAAGTGAACTCTCACAAGACATCTTTCTCAGGATTCCCTGTCCTTTGATTGCCTGCTTTGTTTAAGCCAGCACATCTCTCACCACACGAGACAGGGATGCTTAGATGCCTAGTCATGCAGAAAATACTGCAGAGAAGATACATTATCATGTAATGAATCTTACTTTGAATTATGAAACTATGAAAGTCTCTCTTTTTTGGGAAGGAGGGAGACACTGTTATTACACATTTGCAATAACCAGATTCATTTTAACAAGCAGATTAATTTCATTTTCAGCAGCACCAGCATAATTGCCTAACTCAGAGTGGAGACAATACTCCAAGGTCTATGGCAGAACTTCTTCCTACCACCTGCTAATGATTCTTTTAATTGGTGATTGGAAAGATCCACGCAAAGCCTCTGCTATGCCACTATATGTCTTTCCTCTGCACTGTGGTAGATAAAACAGAGCAGTTTGTAATTTGCAGTGTCTACACTTTAAGGTTTAGAGAGAAGAAAGATGTCGTAGTGGATATTTCTTAGAGCTGAAATGCTGGGGCATTTGCAGCTACTTCTAACTTCCTTATTCCATCTGGCTTTAGTTGCAGTTCTTACAGTAACAAGAAGATGGTTTTTTCCCAACAAAAATACTTGTGCGCTGTTGTGAGACTGGAGGCGAGAGCACTACCACTCTCGCTGGAATGCCGTCGCTCCCTCTCACTGCAGAGAAGGAGATTCAGACCATGCCCGCCTCTCCTCCTAGGAAAACTTAGCCGCAGGAGACAGACCCCAGAAAATAGAGAGGGAGATGTGGAAGCTGACAGTTAGAAGAACCAGGGAAGAAACAGCGGGAAGAGAGCGGAAGCTGAGGGTGGAGATAGAGGTGGGGTTTGTTGTTGTTGTTTGGTCATTCAGTTGTGTCCGACTCTTCGTGACCCCATGGACCAGAGCACGCCAGGCCCTCCTGTCTTCCACTGCCTCCCAGAGTTGGGTCAAAGAGGCGGGGTAGCAGATATAAAGAGAGTGGAACACTCTCCCTACCGAAATTCGGCTGGCACCCTCGCTGGGCGTTTTCAAAAGCCAGTTTAAAACTTGGTTATTTAAACAGGCCTTCCCTCCAGTCAATTAAGTGTTCCCCCCCCCTCTTCTTGAGTCTTGCCATCTTGGAGATGTGTTGTTTAGAATTAATTGTAATAACTGTTTTTTTATATATGTTATCTTGATGTGTTTTAATCTATGTAAACCGCCCCAAGTAAACGTTGTCTAGAGGGGCGGGGTAAAAATTGAATGAATGAATGAATGAA